CGAATAAATGCTTTAATATCCCCACAACATATAGGGCATATGCCGATCGTCTAATTACAACTAAAGTGTGGGTGTGGGTGGGTGTGGGCGTGGGTGGGTGTAGGTGTGGGGCGGCTGTGGAGTGTGGGTGTAGGTATGTGTTTTACCTCTTATCACACACATCCATACCCAAACCAACACTCACACCCACAACCACAACCACACCTACACCCACACCCACACCCCACACTCACAGCCACCCACACCCACACCCTATCAGATCTTGTACGAACTGACATCTGGTTTTTCGACCTGTAATGGCTTTCAGGTTAGCATATAAAATCATACAAGATCATATATGATTTTCATATGACCATGTATGATAATATAGTAAGTTCCTATATGATCTTGTGAGAATCGTACAAGCTCTTATAATGGGATTCTTTGACCTGGGTTCCACAAAATTAAAAAAACCATATGACTGCATTAAAAATTTATCGTGACTGGTTGTGATCAGACTTTTGTTACGGTCACACTGATTTATACTCTTGATATCAAAAGAGGCAAATCGTAATTGTTCAAAAAACAAATGTATAAACTTTTACTGACCTCAATCAGATATAACAAAAAGATAATGAAGATTCATTCTATATTTTTTAGAATATATTTCAACTTGCTGAATATATGACATAAATTTCAATTTAAAACTGTGTCTATCGACGTATTTTTTTTCAATTTTACAAAATTAAGATTCTATGTATGCTGCTAAACGTACCATAAGTGGAATACTAAATTGAATAAGTATATCTTATGTTAAGAATACATCAATAAGCTTTCTTTCTGAATTAATCTCAGATATAATTCGTTTTAAATTATTTGTTAAACGAATTTTTGATGAATACAAATTTACAGTAGATTATGAATTCGCTTGAATTTGTCTATGAAGCTATTATGATGGTTCTAAAGTTGGTAATTCCGAAGAAAATTCATTTTTCTATAGTCGATTTTCATCGTTTTTTATCTACTCGTATTGACAGTTTTTACTTCAAAAAACTAAAATATATTTTATTTTAATGAAATATTTCTACGATATTCTGCAATATGTAACTAGAACATATTTTATTATTAATGTTGCGTATTCTTTGATTATGTTATTTTTTGGAAATGATATTAACTTTGTAGAAAAAAGCTGTGCATGTACAAGAAAAAAAGGTAGAATTGAATATCAAAGTATTTGCTTAAACGTCGTACATAAAATAGAAAAAAAAATTCAAAAAAAATCAAGAAATTTTTTCTAAAAAATTCCATCCGGTGCACCATCTTTACGTATATCACAGTTGGCCCAATATTGATTAACCTCATCACGCCATTCAATACCTTGTATAGTAGAAAAACCATATTCACTATATGTTATATTATGACCACGTTGTTTAAGTTGGTAGAAGATATTCTAAAATGGCAAACAAAAGATATAAATTTTATTCTAATAGTAGTAGGATTTTAATCGCCAAATAGAGACAAACTCTATTTGTATAATTCATCTATCGAAATAAGAAAAAATTTTTTTCGAGATTAAAACTTCTTACATAATCAAAACCGTGTTCAGCCATAACTTCTTGTGGTAATAATTGTGAATGAAGTCTTGGCGCATCAATAGCTTCTTTGATATTTTTGTTAAACCATAAATTAAGCATTACAACTTGTGCAACAGTTGTGGTTATTTTAGTGCCACCACTAGCGCCTATAGCTTGTTGTACACGTTTATGACCATTTTTTAGTAGAATTAATGGTGATGCTGATGACACAGATCGTTTTCTAGGTGCTATAAAATTAACTGGACTAGCTGGAATACCAAAAAAATTTATTGTATTTGGAATTGAAAAATCATTCATTTCATTATTGTAAATAATGCCTGTTTCAGGACCAAGAACTTTTGAACCATAACTAAATAAAAATCATGTTTTAATTGGAATTGTAAATAAAAATTATTCATACTAAAGATTAATAGTTGATGTCATTGCAACAGCATCACCATCAGATCCAATAACAGATAAATGAGATGTACCTGTTGTGAGTTTATCAAGCCATGTTTCTCCATAATATTCAAAGCTGAAGGTTTTATGATCACTAAATTCAAAGGAAATAGAATTACTGTCTGTTAAATAATGTCAACTTCATGCCTATTTTTCGAATAGCTTTCGCTGGAAAGACGATAGACATTTGCGGCTTTCATTATTCAAAAGAGGACATTGGAGGACGATAGAATCATGTTAAATTTGATTGATTTAGCAATTGACCAATAAGAAGCAGCCTTGATAGACGTTTTGGGAAGAAATAGTCTGAATGCATTCTTCATTTGATTTCCGGTTTTGATATGATCGTTCGATAGAAAAAAAAATGTGCTTGTTCAATCTACGTAAAGCCGATAACTCTATCTCGTTCTGTTCACGGATTATAAAGATTTTTCTGAGATCCTTGATTTCGGCCAATTGACCTCAGATCAACAGAAAATTGATCCAAAGAGGAGTAATTTACCATGCTGATGCTTGGCTTTGGTTTCAAAGCGATTTGAAATCAGTTTATTGAAATTTCGACTGTTTAATAAAATATACTAGAAAAATTTGGATTTTCAAAATATTTTGATAGTACTTGCTAATCACTTTGACACCAAAACAAGCCAAACATCATCACCAGACCTAGTATGGTAAATTACCCCTCTTCAAACCAATTTATCGTTGATTTCAGGCTAATTGGTCGAAATCAGGGATCACCGAAAAATCTTTATAGCCCGTGAACGAAGCGAGATGGAAATCTCAGGTTTGCATTAGATAGATCGAGCATAATTTTATCTATTAAAGACATGATGTCTTCTACAGATATCTTTGAAAATCCAATTAATCACGAGCACAGGGATGATAGGAGATATTGCACGAATACATGTGACTACAACTACATCCGATATCTGCTATATCTCATACGCTAGTATTTAACATCTAATCGATTTCATCTGATAGGTCAATTGCTAAACCAATCAAATTTAGCATGATTCTATGACCCTCACGATGTACTCTTTTGAATGATAAAAACTGCAGATTTCTATCTTCTTCCGAGCGAAAGTCATTCGAAAAATAGGCATGGTCGTTATATTATTCAATCTAAATAATATCAATTTGATATACACACTCAATCCGTGCTCGTATACTGTCAGCATAATCTTTTGATGTTAATTTACGAATAAGCTAAAAGATAATGTATATAAAAATACTTTTGAGAAAGCAATTGAATTTTGTTCATACATCATTGATATTTATTTGTGATGGATCACCAAGTTCATTTCGTTTAGCATAAGCAAATTTAAATGCTTCAATAAGACGATGATAAAATAATGCTGATGTTGATGTGTTTTTAAAATTATTTTCAAGCATATTATATCCTTATAAACAGGACAATATTGTTCAGAAAAAAAGATTTGCAAAAAAAAGAAAACTTAATACCTTGAAGAATATTTAAAATAAAAATAAGTATCGGTCCACTTGATGGTGCTTGTGATGTAAATCCAGTTAATGAATTCTTAAGAGGAATATGTAATGCTTCATCAAAATCGACTTGATAATCGGCAAGATCTTGTTTTGTAATAATACCACCACGATCTTGAATTTCTTTAATAATTTTATCAGCTAATACACCCGTATAAAAAGCATCAACACCTTGTTCAGCAATAATTTCAAGTGT